ATAGCTTGATAGAAGTAGATAGGATTATCCTTTGTGTCCCTATTATAAGAGAAATATCAAGTCCTATTAAGGAATCCAGTGATTTTGGCTTAGGAAGATCATTGCATCAAAAGGCTATTCTACTGCAACCTCAAAGATCATTGCACCAAAAGGTTATTCTGCTTCAACCTCCGGTCACCGTCAATGGATCAAGGTAATCCTAAAACCTCCTATCTCTCAAAAATAGCATAGACACTTCACTCAAGAGAACATGCAATAACAATCATCATTAGGAACTACTCCCCCATACTTAAAACAAAACATGGTCCTCTATGTTTGAAAAAATAAAAATAAAAATAAATAAAATAAAAAAAGTAAAGATAAGAAAAAAAGGGAAAATACTGGCTGGTGGAATCGAGTGTTGATAATGCTCATAGTGTTGACCTTCGAATATTGGCAATGTGATGGAGACGAAGTACCCGCATAGTAGACCAGCTTACAATAGCAAATATATAAAAGAAGCTAGAGTTCAAGTACATGAAATGAAATAAAAATAAGAAAAATAGATATTAAACTAAAAGACATAAAAGAAATCATAAAACTCATTAGTCATTGGGGAGGGGGAAATGATACTAGAACAAGCGGAGCAGCTCTGTGATCTGGGTCTCCTGCTGGTCAAGGTGCTGATGGACCGATGCAGAATACTCAGCCAATTGAGTCTCGTACCTATCCATCCTCTGATCAATATGCTGGTACAACTGCTGTAGATCTGGATGGTGAGCAAGAGCAGGGGATGCGGGTGGCTCCATTAGAGCATCATGAAACTCACCATCCTCGTCAGCAAGATGAGGCTCAGGTTGCTGCTCTGGTACTGCTGGCTCCTCTCTGGCTGGTGCATGGGGTGGGGCTAATACGAACTCCCCATTTCCTGCTCGGACTAATATGCCTATCCGGTAAAAGGTGTCCGCAGTCAGTGGGGTCATCTCGACAATCCTCGTGTCTCTCCGCTGTGTGGGAATGTTGTCTAAAATTACAGAAAAGAGATAGAATTGAGAAGAGTGTGTGGGAGTGCTCTGTTTGGGGAAAAAGGGCGTGCACTATCTATGCACCCCATCCCCCCTTTTATTTTTCAAATCCTACTCTGCACGGCCGTGCATATATGAAGCACGGTTGTGCTTATTTAATGAAAGCACGCCCAAAGTACCTTTTCTGACATGGGATTGAGCAGGGTCGTGCTGTATGAAAGCGCGACCATGCATTGCTCATCTACCCTCTTCATTATGTGTAAAAACAATGAAAACTTAAAATAAAATTAAGAAAAGTGACATAATTAAGAAAACATAACATAGGGTGCCTCCTGGAAGTGCTTGTTTAATGTCGCAAGCCTGACATCTTGCCTAGGCTAGTCAAGTGTTATCGTGTGACCAGGAGGGGTCACATTCTCTATGTATAGCTTCGCTCTCAACCCATTGATAAGGAATGGTTCTTCTCCATGCTTGGACACTTCTAGTACTCCATATGGAAGAACCTTGACCACATTGTAGGGGCCATACCACCTGGATTTCAGTTTTTCAGGAAATAGTCGCAACCGAGAGTTATAGATCAGAACCCTGTCACCTGCTTGAAAACTCCTATGATAAATGTGTTTATCATGCCACTTCTTAGTACGCTCTTTGTATAACTTGGCATTTTCAGATGCTTCAAAACGCAATTCATCCCATTCATTGAGCTGCAACAATCTCTTTTCACTTGTGACCTGTGAATCAAAATTTAGGAACTTCAAGGCCTAGTAGGCCTTGTGTTCAAGCTCAACTGGTAAGTGACATGCTTTACCAAAAACCAAACGATAAGGGGACATACCAATAGTGGTTTTGAAAGCACTGCGATAGGCCCAGAGTGCATCATCCGATTTCAGAGACCAATCTTTCCTGGAGTTGTTAATAGTGCGCTCTAAAATTCTTTTCAATTCCTTATTAGATATCTCAACTTGCCCACTAGTTTGGGGATAATAAGGAGTGGCCACCTTATGGGTGACATCATATTTTGTCAAAAGAGCTTCAAATTGTTTATTGCAAAAATGGGTGCCACCATCACTAATAATAGCTCTAGGGTGCCAAATCTAGTGAAAATATTTTTCTTTAGAAATTTAATCACAACTCGAGTATTATTGGTGGGTAATGCTACAGCTTCTACCCATTTGGAAACATAATCAACAACTACTAATATGTATTCATTATGCATGGATTTAGGGAAAGGCCCCATGAAGTCTATGCCCTAGACATCAAATAATTCACAAATCAAGATATTACTAAGAGGCATTTCATGTTTCCTAGATATATTTCCACTTCTTTGACACCTATCACACGACTTAACATATAAATGAGCATCTTTAAACAAAGTAGGCCAATAAAAACCACACTGCAGGACCTTATGAGCAGTTTTCGATGGGCCATAATGACCTCCCACCTCCCTAGAATGGCAATGGTTAAGAATCACATTAACTTCACTCTCTGAAACACACCTCTTAATCATATTGTCCCCACAAATCTTAGAGAGGTAAGGTTCATCCCAAATATAATGCTTCACATCAGACCAAAACTTTCTAAGCCTATGCTTGTCAAGTAGTTTAGGAGTTACATTACTTGTCAGATAGTTTACAAAATCCGCATACCAAGGTAACTTAGAGATTGCGAGGAGCCTCTCATTAGGAAAAGAATCCTTGATCTCCTTCATCGTGGGTTCCCTTACTGAAGCATCTAATTGAGACAAATGATCTGCTACAACATTCTCACTCCTTTTCTTGTCTCTAATTTCTACATCAAACTCTTGGAGGAGAAGAATCCACCGTATAATCCTTGGTTTAGCATCCTGTTTTGACAACAAATACTTGATGGCAGAATGGTCAGTAAAGACAACAACTCTGGACATTATCAAATAAGAACGAAATTTATCAAATGCAAAGATAACAATAAGTAATCCCTTTTCTGTAACGGTGTAATTACGCTGAGCATCGTCCAAGGTTTTACTTGCATACTAAATAGCCTGAAACACCTTATCTCGCCTTTGTCCTAAAACTGCTCCCACAACTGCATCACTAGCATCACACATTAGCTCAAAAGGTAAAGACTAGTCAAGGGCCACAATCACAGGAGCAATTGTTAATTTCTCTTTTAATTTCATGAAAGCAGATAAACATGCTTCATCACATTTAAACTCTACATCTTTAGCCAATAATTCAGAAAGGGGTTTTGCTCTTTTTGAGAAGTTTTGTATAAACCTCCTATAGAACCCAACATGCCCTTGAAAACACCTGATTGCCTTGACACTTGTAGGGGGAGGTAGTTTAGAAATAATCTCAATCTTGGTAGGGTCTACTTCAATACCTTTTCCTGACACCTTGTGTCCCAAAACAATGCATTCATCAACCATAAACTAGCACTTCTCCTAATTTAAAATCAAATTGGCTTTCCTGTATCTCTGTAAGACTAAATTCAAGATATGTACACAACTATCAAATGTGGTGCCATATACAGAAAAATCATCCATAAAGATTTCAATAAAATGCTCTAACAAATCTAAAAATAAAGCCATCATACACCTTTGAAAGGTTGCGGGGGCATTACATAATCCAAATGACATTCGTTTATATGCAAATGTACCATAGGGGCATGTAAAAGTAGTTTTTTCTTGATCTTCAAGAGCTACGGGTATTTGCATATAACCAAAATAGCCATCTAAACAACAATAATATTCATGCCCAGCTAACTACTCTAACATCTGATCAATAAAGGGTAGAGGGAAATGATCCTTTCTAGTGGATTCGTTAAGCTTCCTGTAGTCAATACACATCCTCCATCTGGTTACCTTTCTGACGGCGATGAGCTCCTATTGCTCATTCTGCATAACAGTAGTCCCTCATTTCTTTGGTACAACTTGCACAAAACTTATCCAAGGGCTATCAGAGATTGGGAATATGATATCAGCATCTAACAACTTAATTACCTCATTTTTCACTACTTCTTTGAGATTGGGATTTAATCGCCTCTGAGGTTGCACTTTTGTTTTGAACTCCTCCTCCAGGTAAATTTTATGAGTGCATATGGAAGGACTGATGCCCTTAATATCATTGATGCTCCACCCGAAAGCCTCCTTGTTCTCTCTTAGTACTCTCAGAAGCTTTTCCTCAATGCTACCTGTCAAATTGGTAGAAATAATTACAGGTAAGTGAGATGGAGGATGTAAAAAGGCATATTTAAGATTCGAGGGAAGAGGTTTGAGTTCTAGTTTAGGAGGTTCTTCGACTGATGGCTTGGTTTTTTTCCGGGAGTGTTCTCCTAGATCTTCAAATATCCTTTGCCCGAACCATCTTCCAGGCACCCCACTGTTCAATGCTAAGATCTCATCTATTATTTCTTCAATGTCATATAGATCCCTCATTTCCAATGTAAGTATCCTCTCCAATGCATCTTTTATTAATTCATCTTGTACATGTGGCACATTCAGGGAGAGGGATGTAGCATCTGCAGTTGTCACAAAATTACATGAATCAAAAGTGGAGGGATGCTTGAGTGAATTAAAAACTTTAAATACTACTTCCTCATCATTCAATCTTAATGTAAGCATCCCTGCTGAACATCTATTATCGTTCTTCCTATGGCTAGGAAAGACCTTCCTAGTATGATGGGTACTTCATCATCCTCTTCCATGTCAAGGACAATGAAATCTGCAGGGAATATGAACTTATCTACCTTGACCAGGACATCCTCCACTATGCCCCTAGGATATGTTATCAAGTGATTAACAAGCTGCAGAGAAATTGAAGTTGGCTTGGGTTCTTGCATACCCAACCTTCTAAACACAGAAAATGGCATTAAATTAATACTCGCGCCTAAATCACAGAGCGCTTTATTAAAATAAGAGTTTCCTATAGTGCATGGAATCGTAAAATCCCTTGGATCCTTAAGCTTAGGTGCTAGCTTCCTTAGTAATATTGCTAAGCACTCCTCATTCAATCTGACTGTCTAAAATTCTTCCAATTTCTTCTTGTTGCTTAGCATCTCCTTGAGGAATTTAGCATATTTAGGCATCTGTGAGATGGCTTCAACAAAAGGGATATTGGTGTGGAGCTTTCTGAGGATCCCAAGAAACTTATTGAACTGAGAGTCTCTCTGGTTACTCATCAACCATTGTGGAAATGGAACTTTCATCCTTGGTATCACTGATGCATCTTCCCTTATTTCCTTTTTCGTATCTGAGTGGCAAGCATGGCCTTGCTCATCATCTAGCATGGCCGTGTCTTCTGTTAGCACGACCTTGCTTGGTACTAGCACGGCCGTGCCTTCATTGTCTGCGTGGGCATGCTGTTCAAAGCATGACCGTTCTTTTTCAGTCAGCATGGGAGTGCAGGGTGATGCAAGGGCATGCTAATCAACAAGCACAGGCGTGCATGACTTATGTGTTTGCATTCCATTCAAGTTTTTCCCACTTCTTAAAGTAATTGCCTTAGCTTGTTCCCTTGGATTCGGTTCTGGTTGGGATGGTAGTGCTCCTAGTGCTCTTTGACTGAGGAGACTAGTGATTTGCTCCAACTGGGATTCAAGCTTTGAAGACCGAGTCCTCATCTCATCTCTTATTTCTGCAAACCTCTTATCTTTCCTCTCAATCTGTTGTTCCATCTAAGTCTCAAGTTTTGCTATTCTCTTGTCAGAGCTATACACATATTGCATCATCTGTTCTTGAAAATTGGATTGAAATCTGGGAGTTTCTTTTCTTTCTATCTTCTCTCCTTGATTTTGCACATGGGGGGCTCGATAGGGCGCATTTTGATTTCCTTGGCGGCTTCCCCAAGGAGTTGTATTGCTATTGCGCCATCCTGGGTTATAATTATTACCCATAAAATTTGCCTCCTCCTAATCAAACTCTGTATTATGCACCGACTTTGTTGGTTGATCTTGTGCTCTCATTAAGCACTTTAGTTGCTTTGTGAGAGTTGTCATTTGGCTTAATAGGGGGTTGCTACCCTCCGCTTGATAGACTGGTGCAACTTCCTTTCTTTTGTGGTTGTATGTGTCAGTTCTGTGCCACTGAAAGCTAGCGGATGCCATTTCATCTATCAATCTGTATGCGTCATCTGTGTCTTTCCTTATAAGAGAGCCTCCTGCGGCGGCATCAATTGTGGCCCTATTATGGATGGATAGGCCACTGTAAAAGAATTGCACCTGCCTCCAAGTTGGAAAATCATGGTGTGGGCATCTTATCAACAATTCTCTGAATCACTCCCACGCCTCGAATAGTGATTCTGTCCCATACTATTGGAAGCAACATATTTCTGTCATCATCTTGGAAGATCTTGATGGAAGAAAGTACTTTCCCAAGAACTGTTGAGTGAGATCCTCCCAAGTTGTGATGGAATTGGCTGAGAGTGAGGAAAATCATGCATTCACCCTCTCTTACACTGAGAATGGGAACAGGCGGAGTCGAATAGCATCATTGGAGACTCCGTTGTATTTTATGGTGTCCGTCAATCAGAGGAACTTTGTCAGATGCAGATTGGGATCTTCGTTAGGCATGCCCCAAACTGTATGGAGTTCTGAACCATGGTTATGAGTGCTAGTTTCAACTCAAAATTGTTTGCCTCCACATTAGGTGCCACGATGCTTCCAAGAGTGCGTCTGGCATTGGGTGTCATGTAGTCTTTGATCGATCTCATTCCCTCTGCCATTCTTTGCTCTCTCACTTGTTTTTGTTGTCTACGTGTTGTTCTCTCAATCTCCGGATCAAACAAATAAGTTGTAGATCACTTAGAACGAGGGAGCATACATCAAAAGTAATTATGAAAAAAGGAAAATAAAATAAATATGAAAATTATAAAAATATTGAACAAAACAAAACAGAATTAAAATAAAACAAAACACAAATTACTCAAATCAATTAAATTCGAGATTTTTTTAATATTGAAAAAGCAATCCCCAGCAACGGCGCCAAAAACTTATTTGGAGGGAAAGTGTACCCATCGAGAGGTAATAAAGGGGTTCTTAAATTAAGTTCCCGAATTATCGTCCCACAAGGATTGTTTACCAATTACTAAGAATTTTCTAATTTAATTGTTTGAGCTTCAAATATGCGAGAATAATCAACACTAGAATTTAGAAAATCAATTATAAAACTAAGAGCAAGAAACATAAAGCACGTCTTGGTTACACTTATCAGAGAAAAACCTAGGGCATATGAGTCTTCTCGTTCAATCCTTTATGTTATTTTTCTATTTAGATCTAAATCCGATTTCCTTGTGATTATTAATTATTCATACGAATACTATTAATATTCAATGGTCATGCAATATTAATATTCTTTTCTCTAAATTAACATTCCCAATAGTCATGCAAGATATCAATTTAAAAAAGCTTAAGGATCCTATGAACTTGTTAATTCAATAACGATTAGAAGAAGAAGATTGGTTTGGTCTACCTAATCTTTCATCTCGTTTTATCCTATAAATCTATTAAGCAATCGAGGTACGATCGCCTGACGATGTAATTAATTAGAGTTAAGAGTGAGAAGCAATAAGATAAATTCTAATCACGAAACGGAAATCAAATTGAGATTCAAATATCAAAATTCCATAATTCCATAAACAATAATCCCTATAGCCCTAGCTATGGATTTAGTTACTCATGTAGAAAGAAAGCGCTAAAACAATCAATAACATATCCATAATAAAGAGATATAGCAAACTAGAATATGAGATGAATCTTCGATCTTCAAGTATGGTCACTTGAAGCTCTAAGTCCCGCCAAGAGTGTGCTAACGATCCGTACAAAAAGGGTGGAAATGATCCGAGATCTCGAACGGAAGGTTATGTGTAAATTCGTGCTCAGCCAAAAGATGATTCCATGAGGCCTTCTTCCTCCTATTTATAGAATCTGAACTCCTTTAAAATTGCTAAGAGTGACTTCCACAAACAAGCACGGCTGTGCACCATCATGCAGCACAGTCGTGCATTACGTCGAAGCACCCCAGTGCTTCACTGGGCGTGCTTACTGCTATGAGGCTTTTAAGTCCATTCATTTAGGCCCAAAATGCACCAGAAATTTACTCGCGACCTTTTTATATCAAACTGCATAATTAATAAATAAATTAGTGTAAAATCAAATTAAAATAAATATCAAATATGACTAAATGGGCTGTAAAAGAGAGCCTAATTACAGACTTATCATAATCCTAAAACCTCCTATCTCCATTCAATAATTTAACGTAATGGTTCTTGAGTTTTATTTGAAATCTTATATGGTTCCTAAAGGGAAAATTTTAACACGGCCATCTTTATTTATTGTCGAAGGCCCTTGAAGCACCCAACTGCTAACCACATGTGGCCTCGAACTAAGTGCCCCTCCATGCCTCCAAAAGTACCTCAATACTAGCATTTGGACAACCTCGTGAAACATCTAACCCCATGAGTGGTAATGGGCGGGTGGGTTCTAGCAGAATGTTGAATTTATTTTTCATTAAACTTTCTGAAGCAGCAGTTACATGACCTCCAATTAAGGGTGACTGGATTTTCAAAAAATCAATCTAAATCCATTTAAAATCCAATTATATGGATTATAAACTAATCCATTTTAATTTATTTAAAAAATAATTTATATTTTATTTTAAAATTTAGATTTGGTTTAAAACTAGTTTAAAATTTGGCAAAAATATACAATAAATATTTTTTATATTATTATTAAATTATTATATTAAAAAATATTTAAATTTTATAATAACTAATACAACATTATATTTGCATATATATATATATATATATTATTTTTTTTGTGAAGGATTAACATTTTATTAAAGATAAAATATGAGTACAAGGAGTACTCTAACCCATTACATCTCTGCATGAAATTAACAATACATATCAACAGAATATTTGCATATATTTGAATTTATTAATAATATATATATATATATATTATTAAACTAATAAATATTTAGATATATTCTACTTTTTATCATCTATCCATCTCACAAACTAATTATATGGGTTGAATTTTAAACTATTTTATTTTATCTTTTTAGTTAGTTTGAAAGTAGTTTTGAAATTTAAATTTAGTATAAAATTGGTTTTAAATTTGATTTTTGTTGAAAGTAGTTTTAAATTTAGTTTTACATTGAATTAGTTTCAAATCCAATTTAAAATTTAATTTTTAAAGCAAAATTAATTTTTAATATATTTACACATTTTGTTTTTAAGGTAAAATTAATTTGTTGTACATAATGTTGCATTAAATTAGTGCGTTTTAAAAAAATTGGTAATATTAGTTTTATAGCAATTTATAAAATATTTATTATTATTATTAACTTATTTTTAATAACAGAGCTGATGATGAAAGTTTAAATTAAAATCTGTAAGAATAAAAATTAATAATATAAATAATAATAAAATTATAATTTATAATATTTTAAAATTAAAAAATAAACATAAATAGAAAAACAATAGTAGTAATTAACTTAAGAATATTTGTTATATTTTAATAACTTTAATATAATTATATTTTAAAAATATTATTTTAAATATTAAATTTTAATTATAAGAATTAGGATTAATAAAAAAATATTAGTAATAAAACATAGTTACGATAAAATTTTGTAAACTTATATATCGTAGAGATTGAATAAGTAAAGAGACAAGATTTTACTTTCATACGTGTGGATTTGGATAAATAAAAAAAAAATCAAGTTTTAGAAAGTGGAGTTAAACACTAAATCGATTATAGAAATATAGTTAATAAAAAAAGCAATTTAATATGGATCTATATTTTTTAAACTAGTTTAACGTAGTTATGGATTGGACTTATAAAACTAGATTTTTTGCCCATCCTTACCTCTGATGATGTTTATAAGATCTTCTAGCATTGGGAAAATTCAAAATCAAGATAGGTTACATGGTTTACACAAGGAAATATCATGATGCAGAAATTGGAGAGTCTGAACAAAAAATTCATATCACATACATAAATAAACAATTGGAAGTAAGGACTTTTTAATGGCAATCAATAGCACACCATATACCTTATGTAATTTCCCAAGGAGTTTGATTCAGAAAGTGGTATATCACAACTTACAGGGAAACCACAATGTTGGAAATAATTACTAGAAGAATAATATGTTGCATGCATTATAAAGATGAAAGGTTGTGAGTTAGTGTGAGTTAAGGATCACAATTTCTTTGTTAAGAACTATAATTCTTAGTTTGTAACTGTTTGACATCTAGTGACATAATAAAGACAATTATTTGATACAAGTTAAGGATTACTGACCACTCTGTAACAAAGATCCTAAAATTTTATCTGCAACAAAGAAAATAGTAGTTTTACAACTGTTTCAAAAGAATGCTATAGAACTGAAAGTATTCATTACATAACTCAAAATAACTAAGTCCTATAGTAGTTTTCATCCATCCATGTACTGTGAGCTTGGTATTACTCGTCCTAGTTTCCTAAAAATATTGTGTAAGGGTAAGTCTCTACCCTACCACTCATACATAACCCATATTCAATCATAACATAAATTAGAAAATATCATGTTATTACATACCTTAGTGTCATGTTAAGCAAGTTCTCATTTCAACACATAAACATACATTATATTACATAGATTCACAATTTGTTTCAAAAGAATGCTATAG